AAAAAAACCTCAAAATTTGTCCGTCAAACAATATCTAATTGCAGCTATTTTGTACCAACTAGCTTGTAATTTTTTAATGGATATTTGMCATGAAATCTTTTAATTTATTATCTTGTTTTCAAAGATTTACTTGATAAAATCAAATCATCTATGGAGACTAATAATACAGAACAAYTGGCAGATGCATTGGAAAAATTTCAGTCAGAATGCAATGGCAATGAAGAAAAGAARAAATTTGCCACACACAATGGAGGATTAGATACTCTAGTGTCATCTTGCAGGCATTTGAAGTCAACACCAGAACATTTGGTCAAAGGACTTGAAGCCTTAAGCTCCCTAGTAAATGGACAAGCTAATATACTTGATAAAGATGCTATAGAACTCTTGTATGGGATCCTCAAGGACTACAGTGAAGACTCTAAAGTTTTTGAGAAAGGATTAAAAGTAGTAAGACTTAGTTGTATTAAAAGTGAATCAAACCGGCAGACCTATGTCAGTCTGGATATCATCCCTTATTTGGTTAACACTTTGAAAAACCAGAAGCCAAGCCAGGCGTGGATCATCAAAGAAATTTGTRCATTGTTGCGAGTTTTGACATTTGATGATGACATGAGTGTTCCGTTTGGAAAGGCACATGACCATGCAAAGCTCATTGTTGCCGAGAACATCTTTACTGTCATTCTTGACATCATGGAGGACGTAAGGGGGGATATTGGTACACTCAGTGAGCTGTGTTCTACTCTTGGACGACTRTTTGTTAGGGATGAATACTGTAAAGAGTTTGTGGACATTGGAGGACTAAAAAGGGTCTTGCGATTATTAGAAGAAAATATTGAACATCAGGTAAATGGCCTTCACAGCTAATATTTCATATTTTCAAGGGCTTTTCTAAAAATCTTATTGGATTTACCAATCAATGGTGTACGGAAAGCCTRAACAGGTTTTACAACCAATTTGATAAGGCTACTGTCATATCAATTTACAATYTAGAAGTTGATTTTTGTGGAGGGAGGAAAAACTGGAGAACCCAGAGAAAAACCCTTCRAGGTACAGGAGAGAACCAACGAACGACTCTACTCAYATATGACACTGAGAGCATATCATGAAGCGGTCTTCCTTTTACACCTTCATTTGTGCTCCRATCTAACACCATACTGTATTCTCCAATATGGAATCCAACACTACATGGTTTACTAAGAGAGAGAATTTAAAACAAATGTGTGAGACAATAGAATTCTTTTACTTTATTTTCAATGCACTGACCAAGCCATAGTTACTTCTTATTTTCTACTTATTTTTTTCCCTTTAATTATCAGACAATAGCCAAGAATGTGTGTGCAGTACTAAGAGCTGTTTCAGGCAATGATGACGTAAAGATAACAATCATTGAATCACAAGGGATGGAGTTGATTATCATGGCTATGAAAGCACACGAGAAGCAAGCATTTGTTGCAGAACAGGGTTGTGCCGCCCTCGCTTCCATATCACTCAGAAACCCAGCTAACTGCAGGGCCATTGTGATGGCTGGTGGACCAGAGGCTATCTTGAAAGCTATGCAACTTCACAGTGATGWGGTTGGTGTTCAGGTGAGTGGTGTATTCTTTAATGTGTTGTTACACACGTCTCTCTTCGGTGGAGGAAAGTTTTATGACCCCTTCTACTAACCTTGTACAGTTTTTGCCACTCTCCATCACACACATGTATTAACGCAAAACTTGATAACCACAACTCTCCACACATACAAGATCTTTTAAACGACATTTTCCATTTATTAGATTAGTACAACCGTATATCCATGAAATAGCACATGAACTAAATAGCAATAAACACATCTATTTCTTTRTTTTCAATCCTTTCATTGGTGCTATTTTGTACTTATTATTAGTTAGAGTACAAACACTAAAAGTCTGCAACACTTTGCACTATTTAGTAGTAAATAGTGCTAATTAAACAATAGAAAACAATAGGATTAGCATAATTTAGCAGTATTTATGTTACACACTTATAGTGTTTGTACTCTAGTACTATTTCAGATATATGGTTTGCACGCTAGTTTTCAAGCAAAATTAAGYAAAGAATGCTACTCAAAAATTGGTGTCCATAGAATTTGGGCCAACTGCATACTAACACCTTACTGACACTCTATACTGGTATACTCCTGCTATTTACAATAGAAACAAGGCTGYCTGGCCATTCGTAACTTGGTAGCACGAAACCCTGAGAACTGTGAGCCAATACTTAGTGCAGGAGGGGAAGTCCAAATACGACATGCTTATCACAAGTTCTCAGAGTGTGCAGATCTGGCCAARGCAGCTCTTAGAGACCTTGGATGTGAAGTGGAGTTGAGGGAATTGTGGACTGGTCAGGGAAGGCAGTTGGCTGAGGATAGGTAGTAAAATGTATGTGTGGTAGGCTATTGATTGTACAGTAGAAAAATGTGTGAAACTAAAGTCTGTTTAAAATTAAGATTAGGTTAAAAGACGGTAATAATATCAATCTTCTTGTCACTGCTAATGTGTAGTTTCATAAATTATCCATACCCCCTCCAGGAAAGGTCCCTACCCCTGGAAATTCCAATTTTCTTCCATACAAACTCTGTAATTTTGTTTTTCTCTGACCCCTCTACCCCTCACAAATCCCAAATTCCTCTGGGGGGAGGGGTATGGATAATTCCTGGAACCACACAATAATACATGAAATTCTGCAACATGTTCGTAAAACATGCTTTTTTCAAGATGAGAAGTATGAAATGTAATGAAATATTGTATTTGAAATGTTTTGTAGGAAACACATGAAATGCTCCAGTAAATGTATACCAGCATTTCAGCATTTCAGCATGATTCTTGCATCAAGTTGTATTTTAATATAGCAAGATTCTTTTKTTTTTTWWWAAAATGTAGGATATTGAGTTGTATAGAAYGGTCTGAACCCAGGTGAATGAATGTTAATTGAAGTAATATGATCATCCGGGTGGATGTAGTCCTGAGGACTGTTTGATGTGACTGACTTTTCGACAACCTGAGCGGAAGTCATCTTCAGAGTCAAGTGAAGAATAAAAGTCAGATAAAAATATGASCAATCTGACTTTTATTCTTCACTTGACTCTGAAGATGACTTCCGCTCAGGTTGTCGAAACGTCAGTCACATCAAACAGTCCTTCTCAGGACTACATCCACCCRGATGATYATATTACTTCGATTAACAGCATATTGAGTGTTAAAACATTGCAATGTAATTATTTTACAATTTAATATATTTAYGGTTTGTTTTAATATTAATAATTTATGAATGACAAGGGTAATGTACTAGTATTATAACTATTTCTTCTTCRATACTTGCTGGCTGAAACATAAATTATTCAGAGATGATTTTATCCATGTTCACCAGAGTGCAGTCAGATGACAGACTGATCTTACAAAGTACACTACAAATAATTAAAGAAAAGAAAAGAATGAAGAATAACATTTTCTTATTGCAATAAAATATTTTATTTGCTCCAACATAATTTCAATTTGAACTTTACAAGTKTAAAAATATCTTTTTTTATACATAATTTTGTTAATTCAAGATTGGTCTACAACTGGCTGTGAGGAGATCCAAATATTTTGCTTTGAATGTTACTGAAAGCTCTGCTTCTAGACAATCCAAGTATTATGAGGACAAGAATRTAGAAAATTATTATCCATGCAAACCACGTCCCAGGAGATGTCCTGAAATTATATAATTTGAGAATTACTGGATTAAGAAATTTGGTATTTGTATGCAGTTTAGACCTTGAACTTCAAATTTTATCACCGATACAACCTCTGGACTGATATAAGTTTGGGAATGGGTGAGTTGCAGAATATACAATAAAAAAAAAAGGTTGCAGAATATACAATCCAATGTTGGAAGGTAAAGTAATGTTTCAACATTCTCTTCGGCAAAATACAACTTCTTCTTTGTTTTTATTAAATGTATACAAATCTACTATGACTAGTGTTTTTATACATACAAAGGCCTTTACTTTTGAATCTCACTTTGCCTATAAAAGATAAAATTTCTTTGTTTTTTTTTAATGCCAATTTTGTGTCCATTTGTCTGGGAACAACTGTACTTCATATCAAGCAATGCTCAACTAGCCTTACCTACTCTCTGCCTTGCGTTTCTCAGCATAAACCATCAAATATTTCACCCTCAGTAACTGATTATTAGTGACCACATAATATCTTTCTGGGACGTCACCCCCTTCACTATTTTGAGCCCTTGCTCTGGTCCCAGATTGGCGCTCAACTCCATTTCTGGTCTTTTTTTCCAAGGTACATTTGACATCGGGGTGATCCAAGACTTCACATACGGCCATACAGCTCATTTTTGCACCTAATATACTATTGTTCCATAAATGGCTGTACTTGCTATATGTTATGGATACATTCAAGTCGCTTGATAAGTAAGTTCCTTCTCCAAAAAGGGAGTTCTAAAACAATAACGAATACAATGATTATTTCACAGGATGAAAGTGTCGTAGTATAGACCACAATTTTATTTGGCCAAGAGATGGTGAGTATGGTTGTTATTATAAATACATTTTACCCACTATCTCACTTCTGATTGGTTGACATCCCTCAGCCAATCCCTAGTCTATGCGTACTTGACATGATAAATGTATTATCTGCAGGAAAACCTACGAAGGACTAAATGTCCAAAACATCAGTCTACTATCTTTCTTACCTACGGTGATAAAATTATGTACTAGGACACATTTGGTTCAACTAAAAAACACCGACGCAGTCCAAGCTACAATCTTCTGCAAAAATGTGCCACTTTCCCCGCTTTCCCCCTAGCAATGATGGCCAATGATGATACACTGTGAAGCGGTTGGCTGATAAAATGCATGCGAGACAACATTGCTACGGGGGACGAGGGGGGATGGTTCTCCAAAAAACTAGGTGGCACATATTATTTTGCAGAAGATTGTAGTTCTAAAACTAGTAGTCATCTACAGATAATATATTTATCATGTTGAGTTCACTTAAGGTCACAATGGAGATTGAAATATGTTTGCTATTTTTTTCAAAAGCAAAATTAAATCTTCATTCTTAATTAACAAAATTAGATATGATATAACAATTATTGAATTTGGCTTTTGCTTGATATAAAATTTCAAAGACTACTGCTTCGGCAGATCTTGATCTTGATAATTTACATGCTCAACCTCATCCAACAATTATTGTTTATTTTAAACAGAACAAAAACCTTGTAGAGGTTTTCCACATGATCACAATAATAGAGCCAATTACCATGTTAGATGGTAGAATAATAGAACCTTTTTACAAATCAATTTAAAAAATTTTATATTTTTCATATGAATGTGCAAATCTCTCCTCACACTGGAAAAAGAAATTATGAGTGCATTTTAGATCCTCCCATCTAAGATGTTATTTGGCCAATCAGAGTGCACAGTAAAACGCCATTACAGGGCCATAACTAGGGGGGAGCACAGGGTGCACGTGCACCCCCCCACAAAAGCCTAAGGTCTGCTCATCCATCTCCTTTTTTTTTGGTTCTGCTTTCTTTTGTCTTTTGGTTACCTTTTTTTATTTATATATATATTTTTTTGGTTCTGCTTTCTTTCRGGTACCCCTTTTTTTTGGCTTTGTTTTCTTAAAAGAAATGGTCAATGGCCCGATTTTATTCGATGTGCACCCTCCCTGTAAAAGTTCTGGTTACGGCCCTGCATTGTTATAATCATATAATACCTTATTCAGATGACTGTGTAGTCCGTTATGTAGAATGGAATGGAAATTATCAGGCGCACTTCCATGGTATGCATATAATATGTCATAATGTTCAGCCAACTCAAGGAACCTTTTGTTCAGAACATTGTCTTGATTGTATTCAATTTCAAATATAAAATCTGGTTGGGTTGAACTGTAGCTTGGTTGGCCTGTTCTTTTTTCAATTTCCTTAAACTAGGAGAGAAAATGTATACCTAATTTCATTTAGGCCGACTTATCACTTATATTTATGCAGACATTATTAAGAACATTTTCCATTTTATGCACATTGTCTCCAAGTAGGGCTAAGTGGATAGATGGACAAATGAATGAATGCATGCAAAAATAGATGGAGGGATGGAATGGATGGATGGACATATAGATAAAGAGAGGGATGGATAGAGGGAAAAGGGATAAATGGAAGAATGGATGGATATATGGATAGAGGGAGAAGGGAGAAATAATTAAAAAAACTTTGGAAAGAAAGAAACCAGGATATACAATATTTACCATTGATTTATCCAGCATTGTGATATCAAATGTCTTATTCATTATCCAGTCTAGAAGCTCCCAGGCATCATCCGATATGGACTGATCTCCTTTCACCAGTGTTGAAAGTTTTGGCAAAGAGTTGCAAAGTTGGGTCTGACATGGGAAAGAACAATGATCAAAATACAACCCAATACACATACAATGCAATATGGACTGCACAACAGCAAGGGATGAAACAAAAGTATGGTGCTGATAGAGAATTGGTGTAAGTTTTTCACATTCATAACATTTCTAATCTAATAGCACTAGAATGTTAGCCATGAAGTTCAAAGAAGGAATATTGACAGCTTGTATTATTTGTACTGGTCCAGCTATGCAACTAAAACAACCCCATAAACTACATTGTTATCAAAGTATTTCAAACCTGAATATGAGGGAAATTATATCATGTCTATAATCACAGCATAGGCTAGAATAAGAGTTAATTATCTAACATTATAAATTATAACAAACTTATAAATCATGTCTGACTAACCAATTTTTGTACGTCTTTGGTGCCATCATCTCTTAACCCTACTGGAGGAAAAGGCCTCAACACACTGTCATACCGATAGCTTTCCAAAGCACATACAAGTACACTAATCTTAAGATCTGCAGCAAAAATATCTTTTTTTATCTTTTTTACAACTTTATCTGGTACTAATTCCTCTTCCTTCTGATTTGAATCCCAAGTGTTTGTTCTCCTCCTTCCGACTTCTTCTTCTTCGCTTTCAGATTCATTCATCCCAACAATGATATATTAAAGTGAAAAGCGTTAATTTATCATCAAAAGGCTTAGCGATTTTATAAAATACCAAAGAAAATTGCTGTAAATCAATTTCGTTGCAGTTGAAGAATTTTTTGTATCCACGAAGCAAAATAAACCCAAGCTTTTAGCAGGAGAAAAGGTTGATGTAGGACTGGGTACTTCACCACAGGAACCCCAATAATGACTATTATAAAACGGAAATATGAAATTTCATTGTAGTTGCTTGAAAACTTGCAGCTGGTGTTGAAATATCTTTCTGGATATGTTTTATTTTAAACTATACAATGGGAAAAATGGAAATATAGAAACTTTTGATTTTCACTAGTTAAGAGCGACTGTCCAGAAATATCGAGCACGGGGCGGCCACAGTCAAAAAATAAAAGTCCTTCATTTTTGGTCTGTAGACACTATT